AAGGGTAAAATTTAGGGTATGACACCCAACACCAACAATTTTCCATTTATCGTGACATAATGGGCTTGACCTAGTACATCACCAAGTTTTTTATAATCAACCATGGTGTAAGTTTCAATCATTTCATCACACTTCGTATTGTCAACCATGGTGAAAGCTGTTACTTATTTATATATATGCAAAATTATATCTCGATTGAGTATATTACAACTGTCTCTCTCAAAATAAAACCATAACATCTCTTTCACTTGTCTCTATCAAAACAAAACCCTAACATCTCTGTCACTCATCAGTCTCATATAGGAACCCCAAATTTATGCAGCCAATTCGTCTTCTTTGAAGGTTACCCTTGTCGCATCAAATCTTAGCATATGACTACTTTATAGGTTCGTCTTCACTATAGTGTATGTTTTGAAATCTGTTTTACCTTGTAGGAAGGGATGCTTGTTTCAAAAATGAGGATGAAGTTAAAGTTAGGGTTACAAACTTGTATCAAAGACCCAAAATGACATCCATTCAAAATAAACATAAGTTTTCAGCTCTAACTTGAGCTTCATCCTTCTTTGATTGTGGACGCCATTATGGGACATGTACGTTTCTAAATATTCCATGACTTGATATGTTTGTTGTATCGTGTATATTGTTTATGGTTTGATGTTGATGAATGTTGTTGTTAATGTAGTTGATGAGTTTGTTATATATTATGTAGTTTGAGTATTTTTCCAATCCTTTACCGAATATGTAACTTTTCATATTGCATTAGAAAATTATAATATGATAGATAAAGTTATATTATAAAACAAATACACGTTCAATTCTTGACAAGAATTCTTCATTCTGTTATCTGCATGTTATTCTTTAATTGTTAGAATTTTATTTAATGAATGTTAATCTTCAACCGCCATTCTCTTGACCTCTAATTTTTTTTGCAAAGTAAATAATATTTTGGAAAATGAACTAGAGGTGAAGGAAGGGGATGTTGAAGAACTAGGATCATTAAACAAAGTTCTAATTATTAAAGAGCAAAATGCAGATAAGGAGTTGAAGAACTCTTGTCTAACATTCAACGTGAACTTATTTTTTAATATAACTTAATTTATCATATTATAACGCTCTAGATTAGATTGAAAGTTTTTATGTTTAGTGAGCATTGGCGAAATAAGCATTCCACATAGTATAAAATAAATTGAGTATATAAATCACAATAGTTGTTTATACCAACCAATGTTAATTGTTATCCATTAAAGAATATTACAACGATTGTTTAAAGTAAATGTTGTGGTAGGTAGCGTGCTATATAGCTTATAATCACATATGCATGATCGTGGTGGAAAGCATCCTACATATAATCACACCTTACCTCACAACAGTTGGTCCAGCATGGTGGTATCCCTCCAATATGTTTTTCTTTGTTTCTTTCAACAAGAATGCCTGAAATAAAGGAGAACAAAGATAAATAGTGTGGATACGTTTCTGATACATACTTACCATATTTTTGCGATTCTATCACGACTTTAAGCAAACTCTATGTTCGGTTGTGTATTTGTTATAGACTTAACGCATCTATGTGATTATGATATGACTTAAACACACATTGTTACCTAATGGTTATCTAGTATAGATATAAGAATATATGTGATTCTGATACGACTTAAGCACATTCCACTTCCAGTTGTGTATCTGATACCTACTTAACGCATATTTGTGTTTCTGATACGAATCAAATGCACACCTAGCATCTGAGGCTTATTACACCTAGCATTTGAGGCTTATTAAACGTGCTTGTGCGTAGTTGGCACATGCTCTTGTCAAATCTAGGTAATGCCATGGCATATGTGGTGAAGCCTGGAGACATCTACCTCGATTCGAGTCAAGCTTCGAGGATAGGGTTGAGAATCCTACCTTTGGCCGTGGAATGGCCCTCTGTGAGGCAAAACATAGTACAAACATAACTACAAAATATCATCTTCTCCTAGGCATTACCCGGGAAAAGAAAAAATATATCCAAATATGGTATCCATTTGTACAAATAAATACATTTCTACTGCAAACGCTAAAGGCATGAAGCGAATGCAGCAACCAAAAATAGTAGTCTACATCATTCGCGGCACCGAATTACAAAAAAGCAAGAGATTTCTAGAGTCACTTTCGACATCTTGTTGCATTCAAGTGCGTTATTTCTTTCATAAAGCAAGAGTGCAAGCCCCAAAGCTATAACAATTCATAAACAATGATAACGTAAGCAAAGTCCAACACAAAGTTCTAAAGCTAGCAATATTGGAAATATAAAGGTAAAATATTCCATTAAAAATAATAATTATTACACCCGCGGCACAAAAGCATGGGAAGCATTACGGGAAATAAGAATACGAATAAAGGAAAATCAAGTTGAACCATTCGAAGTCGAGGCATCAGGGTGACTTCCTTGAGTCAGCTTCGGAACAGACTTAAAATGATCTAGTGCTTCACATGAAATCGCAACGTCAAGACAAAGCTTTCTCTCCTGCTCCATAACTCGTGCTCGATCTCTAAGCAAATGCCACATAGTTTTTTCTAGAGCATTATGATGTGCATGCCTCAGTCCGACCACCTCATGTTGGAGAGCTTTCAAGTCCTTTACATATTTCTGGTTCTTTTCCATCTTGAAAACCTTCTCTTTAATTGAAGAAGAAGAAACCTCATATCACTCCTCTTCACCTTTGAAGGCATCTTTCAACTCGGCATGTGAGCCACCAAGGAAAGAGAAGAGTTATGAATTGTTACGACCTTTTGCAAAGAGTTAGCGACCTTAACTTCCTCCTGCAAGGCGATAATCTCCTTTTGAAGGTGGACACACTTCAGCTCCATAAATTTAGTCGTCCCTTTCCAAGTATCCTTTTTCTTGAAGGGACTACCCAGGACCAAGACGTCACTCTGCCTAGCAGAAATAAGAGATAAAAATAGAAGAAGCTTTGGACAAGCTATAAGAAAGTTCGTAAGCCATTTCCATCTGATCCTCCTCGACAAGATTTTGGATGAAGGATACATCCGATATCGAGATAATAGCAATAGCCTCCTTAGGAGTGCATGGAAACCAGGAAAAGAAAATATTCAATATGTTTATGAAGGGGGTCACGACCTCGGAAGTATCATCCTTAATAACCTAAGTTCATTTAGGAGAACACTTATTCCGAGGAGACTGGTGTTCCTCCTCTCGGGAACTCTTCGGAGAAACCATGGATAAGATTGGTCCTACACTGTTAAAAAGAGTAGGAGAAGGCGTTTGGGCTGGAGCTAGCCACCCCAGAAGATGGGGTACCTGTCTTCACTGCAACCTGGATACTTTGGGAATCTGTAAGGCAGTATAACATATTCAACTTGCTCACATTAATCATGAAGCTTGCAAAAATGCAATTACACACTAAATAAAAGTGAACACTCTATTCTTACCAAAAATCTCCCCCCTCTCCTCAAGATTAACTGCACTAAAGATAACACAAGTATCAATTTGATTCTTTCTTACTTCATTAGGGCGAACATCACCATGGTCAAACCCTTTCTCACAACAAAGTCCCAAAACCCGAGATTGCATATCTTCCTTAATTGTCACCTTATCTGAAGAAAGAGAACCTGGTTGGGTACAATACACAACAATATATCAGTTGAAGTGGATTTTAGCCCAGTATTTTGAGTATGAAAAGTGACAGCAAGGAGAGGTAACAGGGGTATAACATAGAGCGAAATGAGATGTAAAGTTCAGGGGCCTCATCAATATGAAATGTCTTAAAAGATTGTCCCAATCCAGAGTTAAAAGGTCGAACCAAGGGACAATAAGCTAAAGACTAATAAGCCCCTGATTACAAACGGTGCATGGGGAGTATACCTTGGACGAAAAAGATTGGAAAATAAATTGAAAAAAAGCTTCCAAAAATTGTACTCAACACATGATTGAAAGACCTTCACATACACCCGTGACCCCAGAAGAAGCTGGGAAGAGAAAATTTTCAAATATTTCAGGATAGCTAGCCCAAATTCAAAAAAGAGCAACTAAAGTCATATACTTATAAACAACTACTCATAAAACAAGATCACACAGTCATCTGAAGAGCTGAATATCCTCTTCTCTTCCGGTACGGAATGAACCGACCACTCTGAAGAATCGGCGCCTACAATGGTAGCATTACCAAGGGCAGCCTCACTGTTAAAAACCCAGAAAATATGCACTACCTTTGCATCTACCCGGTCATGCATCAACGCGTACCACTTGCTTCAAAGGGTTAAATTTTTCAGTAGTGTAATGCTCTTCAATGTAACCTACTGCAATTCAAAATCCAAAATTCTCAATTGGGGTGTATAGAACACAACTCCAAAAATCTCAAGGTAAGGAAAAAAGAGTTTGAGATTAACTGAGGAAGAAAGAGATACTCACTTTCGTTAAGCTCATCGTTAATTTTAGAATGTATGTAGTCCAAAAGCACACGATCCATGTTCAAAACAGAATCGAACAGTCCTAGTCACTTTTTATATGTTATATTGTTTTTTAAGATCTATTCATTTGTGTTAAAAAATTTAAGACAGTTGGACTGCATGAAATATAATCTATCATTCTTATTTAGTCAAAACAAATTTAATTAAAATCTCAGTTTAACCGACTTGCTTAAGAGATGTATTGTTATAATTCAGTGTGAATTAGTCACAAATCTGCATAGAATTGAGCTAAATGGATGATATTAAGATTTGAATCCTCTTCCATTACTGGAGGATCCAGCACAAATCTTCACCATTTAAACCATTTAGAAACTCTTCCCTGTATTCGATAGCACAACTGTGTGATTGAGATTAGCACACGGTGGAAAGCATAACACTAATTACAAAACTTTAAAAAACTTACACTATGTAAAAAACTATAACAATAGATTAGTAAATTTAGGAGAAAGTGTAGAAAGGGAAAAAGTTTGCTGAATCATGTTCTAGATATGAATTGATTTATGTATAAGATCTCTCATATATAAAACTAATATCTACAGTTTTCCACATATCAATCCGTAGACAGTAACCAAAGCAAGTACAAGAGAATGATCCGTTCCGGCTGCCAAATCCAATGATAGAACATCATTACTCAGAACAACTCCTGAGGAAGATTGTTTTTGCTTTGCGTCTGCTATAATTTGTCCATCTTTGTTTACTATCCGAAAACTAAATGATTTGCCTATACTCGTTCTTTCTATGCATAAATTTTGTGGTCCTACTTTGATGTGGCAAGCTATTTTTCCTGTAAGACATCTTTTAACTTGAAACCATGGTTGCTCGATTTGGCTTCTACTATTAGAATTTCTGCTGTGATATTTGTAGCCTTCCCAACATCCAAAAGCTAGTAATCTTTTTTTGATGGTGCAGACAACATTTCCTTTTAGATTCATCAGATTCACTTCTCTTCCACCTTTTCTATCATAGTTATCAACTCTATAAACTATGTTACCATTTGAATCATACACAGTGCAACCATTAGAGTGAAGAACTAGTGATTTCATCCATACTGTATATCTCTCTCTTTTATTAACACACCGATCATCATGAGACTGAGATGATGTTGTAGATTCTTGTTCTTGAGGATGAACTTTGGCCATTCTTTTTTGTTGTTTTATTGTAATATTCGAGGATGTTGAGAGAAGAAGTGTGAGCTGCTTATTTATAAGCCTATTCTATTATAGGCCCACATACTAACTTGGCTGCTTCTTGGAGGCAACTTTTGGAAATAATTGAGTTTAATATGATAGCACTCGTGGAAAAAGTGCTTCTAAATAGTCAATTAATTAGTATTATATTTTAATAAATGATATGGTTCAAACCCCTTAATAATTATCGTCGAATTAAGGGTAAATATATTAATCTTCATTTATGTTTATTAGGTAGAATTAGTTTGTTGTGAATAAGATACCGTTAAACAAAGTATACACGGTTTCTTAATGATCAAGAAACACACAAGGGTTAAGGTTAACAAAGAAGGCAAGGTAAAACAACAAGGAACAACAAGGATTGGTTATTAAACTGCTATTCTTTCCTTTCTCTTAGAACAAGATTACAAGTATACAAGAATAACAAAATAACCTCTCTCCCTTGAAATTAGGATTTTATCTTCCTATTTTTCTTTATGCCAAGATTGAGAAACTAGCACCCTATTTATAATAAAATAGCACATGCTAACAACCTTAGCAATATTTACTCATGCTAACAACCTTAGCAATATTTACTCATGCATGTTAGAACAAACTTCGACTACAACACGCATTACTTGCGAACAGACTTCGACCACACTAGAGTTTGATCCAATGTCTCACAAATCTCCACCTTGGATCTAACTCTATAACATCAAGAAACTAGCTTTCTTCATGCAGATTTATTAACTGCATACAGTGGACAAACTTGCAACTGGGCAATGTCTTGGTGATCATATCAGCAGCATTATGATCTGTCGAAACTTTCAGCACTTGGACTTCTCCACGCTCGATTACCCCTCTGATGAAATGCAACCTCACATCAATGTGCTTGGTTCGCTCATGATAAGCTGAATTCTTCGACAGGTGTATTACACTTTGACTATCACATTTAACAGTGATAACTCGACCTTGAAGTTTTAGCTCCTTTGCAAAACCTTCAAGCCACAATGCTTCCTTCACAGCTTCAGTTAGGGCAATATACTCCGCTTCAGTGGTTGATAGGGCAACGACCTTCTGAAGTGTTGCTTTCCGACTGATTGCTGTCCCAAACATAGTGAACACATATCCAGAGATAGATTTTCTGGAATCCATACAACCTGCATAATCAGAGTCGACATATCCATCGATTGCTGCTTTACTATCTTCACCTAAGGCTCCACCATAAATTAGGACTCTATTTAGAGACCCATTTATGTACCTTAAAATCCACTTCAATGCTTGTCAGTGAGCCTTTCCAGGATTCGCCATGTATCTGCTTACAAGACTTACTGCATATGCTATGTCGGGTCTAGTACAGACCATAGCATACATCAAAGACCAATTTGTCTTCTTTCGATTCCTCATAACTTCCTTATAGTCTCTAGGTTCTTCGTCTAGAACCTCACTTGCAGAGATTAAGGCATAAGCTATAAGATCTGCATACCCAAGTCTCTGAGGTGGTTTGATGACTCTCCTCGACCTGTCTCTTGCTAGCAGGTAGTCATTATCAGTCTCCTCATCTTCGACAACATCTTCTGTGTCTTCTTCGACTTCATCTGGGGTAAGCAATTCAGCATCAACATGCTCCACCTCAACAGGAATCTCTCCCTGTTCCAGCTCTTCGTCAGCATCATCAGTTTTCTTGAAAGCCATCTCTGCTTCGTTGAAAACTACATCTCGACTGGTGATACACCTCCTGTGACCTGGCTCTAGGAACCATAGCCTATAAGCTTTGACTCCTTCAGGGTATCCCATGAACATGCATTTCAGAGCTCTAGGTTCGACCTTGTCTTGCCTAATATGAGCATAGGCCACACAGCCAAATACTCTCAGTCTGTCGAGACTAGGTGGATGTCCCGACCAAACTTCTTCAGGTATCTTCATTCCCAAGGCAGTCGAGGGACATCTATTTATCAGGTAAGCTGTTGTCGAAACAGCTTCCGCCCAAAACACCTTCTTCAATCCAGCACTAACCAACATGCATCTAACCCTTTCAAGGATTGTTCGATTGAATCTCTCAGCTAAGCCATTTTGTTGAGGAGTACCTGCTACAGTCTTATGCCTTGCAATCCCAGACCCAACACAGTAACTGTTGAAAGCTTCGTTGCAGAATTCAAGGCCATTGTCGGTTCTCAACCTCTTAACCTTTTTGCCAGTCTGAGTTTCGACTAGGATCTTCCAACTTTTGAAATTCTCAAAAGTTTCATCCTTCGTCTTCTGAATGAATACCCATAGTTTTCTGGAATAGTCATCAACGATGGATAGAAAATACCTTGCACCTGAGTGTGAAGGATTCCTTGCAGGCCCCCAAAGATCGGCATGAATGTAATCCAGAGATCCATGTGTTCTTTGCTTGCCTTTGTTAAACTTCGCCCTACAGGATTTACCAAATACACAAGATTCACAAAATTCCAACTTTTCGACTTTGTCACCTCCTAGCAGGTTCTGCTTCCCCAATTCGACCAGGCCTCTTTCGCTGACATGGCCCAATCTCATGTGCCATAATTCTGTCTTCGACATAGATTTCGTGGATGCAACATTTGTCGAACCACTTACAACCTCAGCCTCAAGGGTATACAAGCCTTGTTTCTTCACGCCTCTCAAGACTTCCTTCGACCCCTTCATGACTCTTAGGATACTTTTCTCTCCTTGAAAAACATATCCTTTTCTGTCGAATTCACCAAGAGAAATCAAATTTCTCTTCAAGTCAGGTACGTACCTGACTTCAGTCAATAACCTTATTGACTCATCATGGAGCTTGAATCTCACAGATCCAATACCTGCAATTTTGCAAGATTTGTTGTTTCCTAACAACACAAATCCACCATCTTGATCACATAGCTCCTCGAACAATTCTTTGTTTGGAGTCATGTGCCAAGTGCAACCTGAATCCATAATCCACTCTTTCCTCGAGTCGCCACTTGAAACCACAAGAACATCAGATGAGTCGAAGTCATCTTGAACAATGGCTGCATTGCCATTACCTCCATGATCTTTCAGGCGTTCAGGGCACAGCTTTCTTATGTGACCCTCCTTCTTACAGTGGTAACATCGAATACTAGATGTTTCGCCACTATAAGACTTATGTTGACTTTTACCTTTTTTCTTGTCGAACTTACCATCATTTCGCAAGAATTTTCCCTTAACGGCCAAACCTTCGCCCACCGTCGAAGGTTTATGCTCCTTTCGTTCGTTCAAGTCCTTAGAATACAAGGCTGATTGAACTTCTTCAAAGGTCAGGGACTCCCTTCCATACAAGAGAGTTTCTTTGAAGTGAGCATGTGTTTTGGGCAAAGCACACAACAGCAATAGTGCTTGATCTTCATCATCGATCTTCACATCAATATTTTCAAGATCAAGAATCAGCTTGTTGAACATATCCAACTGCTCAGCCAACACTTTGTCTTCACTCATTTTAAATGAATATAAAGCTTGCTTCAGGTATAGTCGATTCACTAGAGATTTGGTCATGTACAAACTTTCAAGTTTCACCCATAATCCCGATGCTGTAGTCTCCTTTGATACCTGTCGAAGAACCTTATCACCAAGGCTCAACAATATTGCGCAGTGGGCTTTCTCGATCATGCCCGTCTTTTCTTTTGCCGTTAACGCAGCGTCCATGGCTGCCTCACCCTTCAACGCTTCCAAACAACCCTGTTGAACCAATAGGGCTTTCATCTTCTAGCGCTACAGACCGAAGTCGTTCACTCCGGTGAACTTTTCAATCTCATACTTTGTTGAAGGCATCTTCTCCACGCTCACCGCACCAATTTGTTGTGAATCGGATGCCTTTAAACAAAGTATAAACAGTTTCTTAATGATCAAGAAACACACAAGGGTTAAGGTTAACAAAGAAGGCAAGGTAAAACAACAAGGAACAACAAGGATTGGTTATTAAACTGCTATTCTTTCCTTTCTCTTAGAACAAGATTACAAGTATACAAGAATAACAAAATAACCTCTCTCCCTTGAAATTAGGATTTTATCTTCCTATTTTTCCTTATGCCAAGATTGAGAAACTAGCACCCTATTTATAATAAAATAGCACATGCTAACAACCCTAGCAATATTTACTCATGCTAACAACCTTAGCAATATTTACTCATGCTAACAACCTTAGCAATATTTACTCATGCATGTTAGAACAAACTTCGACTACAACACGCATTACTTGCGAACAGACTTCGACCACACTAGAGTTCGATCCAATGTCTCACATAGTTAATCACATTAAGGGTATTATAAGCTTTTATAAGCTACCCTGCATCTCAATGGCCAATAACTCTTTAACTTCCACCTGCAATTGTGATGACATTTCAAAAACCACCACACAACCTCCAACGGAGCACCTTTTAAATTCCATTCCACTATTGCCATCAACAATATCACATTGATGATACCAGTGATGTTAGACAACGATAACACCACATATATCTCATGGTCATCCATTTTCAAGATTCAGGCAAGTGTTCATAGCGTGCTTGATCACATCATTTCGCTTACTGATGAACAAGTTCGTCAAATGGTTAACGGCCACAACCAAGAACAATGATACATAACTATGGATTTCTCTTGATGTGATCGTGTTGAAGTCTAGCTCGAGAACCAATTCAACAACACCGACTTGGAGGCATTTCTCTCCACCAAAAATAAATTTTGTGACACGTGCATTATTGATCGGGCGTATCTTTTTCTGGCCAAACTTATTTCACCTCCACCAATAAAACTTCTCAAGATGGTGTTGAATGTGTGGCGTGCTACCTGGGTTTCACGTACCTCCTCGGTACTTTTTCCCTTCTTAGCATAGAGGTTCTCCATGTTTGGCTCTCTCCGAGAAAGACTTCTCTTTCTTGTTGATCTTTCGAGATCTTTTACGTATGACAACAACCGACTTCTTTGGATAAAGATCTCAATTTATCTTTTTAATTGAT